TAGGAAAAGAGGACAATATGTCATTTCAGACAAGTCTATGGGCTCCCATTTTGAGACCTTAGTCCTTGAAATAGCAGGACAGGAAATGTGAGTAACTTGCAGCATCAGACAGAAAAGGAAAGTGGCTGTTTTGCTCTTTTATGGCCTGTCAGGTATGGGACAATGAAGTGAGAATGTGCTGGGGCGGACCTGATGAGGTGCTGGTACTGTAGGGTGCTGTTAGGCTGTTTGCTTTTTCCCTGCTTAAAGGTGTCCTTTGCCTTGTGATGGACGCTAGAAATACTCCAGGTAACCAAATGCCCAGAGCTGGCTGAGAACTCAGTAGCGAATTGTTATTGCAAGGTCTGCAAAACCATTGGACATCTGGAAATGATCCGCTTTACAAACACATCCTTTATAAAGAACTAATGCTCTTCAGGCTTCGGGAGCCATTTCCAAAGTACTGCAGGGGAAAAGGAACTATTTTGCAAAAACAGAGAGACGAAGGATTTTCGCTTACCCCAGCAGCTGTGTGTGAAGCACCTGGCTGGGCACTGGGTGCTGGCTGCTGCCAGCTGTGTCAGCAGCGATCCCAGGCACAGCAGGAGATGTGCCCAACCCACTGTGTGCTGAGCAGATGGACCTGGTTTCTCCTTGGCTTAAGTTGCCTTAGTAATTCAGTTCCAGAACGTTCTCTTCATGATTCCCCAAGACAGATATATGTCACTGCTCCTCACAAGCATTGGTAGACTCTTTTATACCACTCTCATTTTTCATAGTTTGATTGTTTCCAGCCTTCCTCACCAGAATCGAACTAAATATATATCTAGCATGGAAAAAAAAATGTGAAAAGAGGTGTTTCAGACATATGTGGGCAGATGCAGCTGAAAAACTGCCTTGAAGTGTTTCCAGGTCTCAATTTTAGCTTGAATAAAGTTTTTAGAAAAATCTGAAACGACTTTGGTGCATACTTGGGGGAAGAAGGGAGGAACAGAAATCATCATTCATAGAAAAGTCAGTGCTGAGGATGTTACGATTTTGTGTTGAACTCTTCATTTCATCCACCAGAGCATTGACTGAATGGTGCCTTGCTTTGCTGTAGGTTCAGGGCAGATGGATTTCCCAAGATACACGCAGAAATAAGAAAGAAACTCATGTCAAATGTTATTGAGCAACTATAAAGAGAGTTTTGAGGCCATTCATCCTTCACTTGTGAACCAGGTGCCTTCCTGATTCAAAGCACATAAAACAATGCTGTAGCAATGCTGCTTATACCTCTGAAGGGCTGGAGCTGGTCTGCATTAGCTCTTACCAAACCCCTCATCCAAAAATTAAACTAGATACTGTGTTGTGCATTAGGATTCAGGAAAGTCTCTGATTTCTTTAGAGGCAATAAGACTAATGGTAACACTTAGTATGATAAAAGCTTTTCCTGTTAAAAGCCACATACCCTCCTTCTTCACCACGCAAGTCAATCTCTTCCTGCAAGGGTCAGTAGCAGGGACGGAATGAGATTGAACTATACCACAGTAAGCATTATTTTGGATAACCAGCCTCCAGATATAATCTCTTCCTAAAGCCTTCTGCATGCTTGAGATCATACCCTGATTACATTGACATGAAGGTCTTCCCAGGAAGGGACAGGCAGCAGTCTGCTGGAGCAATCTGTACGCTCCTTACCGGCATCCTGAGCAGCCCGCTCTGCCAAGATAAGGAGCTGGATACTAAATTCAATCTTCCTGTCTGGGGTAGCTGCTTCCCCCCTTCCTGTCAACGCTGTTTACATCAGTGCAGGCAGGACACAGTCTTCCAAGCACAGATTGCTGACTATCCCAATGCTTCTCTGCATTAGCTGAAAAACATACACTCTATTTGCTATCACAAGCATTGCATTATCTTATAGTAAGGCCATACTGCTCCCCTTCAATTAGAGACTGACAATCACATTTTAAAATAGATGTATTTAGGGTACCTGAGGCTGAAATATCGTGTCTGTTTGTCCAGTATGAAAACATCTCTTCTTTCTCCCAGTTCTTCAGTGTAAGCTCCAAGGCTGTAAGCGTTTCAGTTTCATTAAATGCTCATGAAAAACTTTAACGATATTCTTGTATTTGAGTAACAGTTATAAACCACTGGCTTAGAGGCTTTTCACCTGAATGAATGTATCTGAAGTCTATCACCTGGAAACAGCTTGAAAAGTACTGCAAGAAGCCCATAGCACAAATATTAGAGGAAAAACCCCAACCCAAATGAGTTGCATTCAGCTCACTTCTCCTTGTGGACATCTTTGTGAAACACAACGGTACCCTCTGGAGGTGCAGCTCCTTTCTTCTGCACATCACTTCACTGTGCAGCTCAGGGGCCCAGCGTGGAAGTGACTGGGGGGCAGCAATGTGGGGCAGATCCAGCCCCGTCTTCTGGGCCAGACCTATGAGATTGCAGTCATCCTAAAAATCTCCTAGAGGGGACACCTCCTGTGGTAGTCCTTTTGTCCTTCCTTTTGATAAATGTTTTGAGGACATCTGAACTTCCCCCTACAGCACGCTGCTTTTATCTCTGTTATTTAGGTGTGTCTGCATTACTTCAGAACTAAACAAACAAAATCCAAAGCAAAGATAAGGTTTATTTATCGCCTGAAAAATGTATCCACAAAGCCTTTTTACATCAGTTTTCTGCAGGATACTACTTGGCCTTGCTTGCTGTTCTGTTCCCTAGTAAAACTTCTTGCCAACTGTTTCTCCAATTAAAGGGAAATAAATAAGGAAAAAAAGCTACTGAGATTACTCATCTATGGTGTAACTAGGCTAAATTCAGATGATACTCTTCACCAGCAAAATAAGCAACTTTTGATTTTATGGCTGAGATATATCTGTGCTCCTGGTTAAAGGCACGTTATCGCTTTGCGTGCAGAAGTTAGCCTTGAAACTACAGAAAGAAGCACAACCTCACAGGTTAATAGAGACTGTGTTTAGTACTTAACTTCCACCTGCTGGTTTACTGAAGGACCTGAAGAGAGTTCAAGTGGACACAACATTTTATATCTTGCTGTTCACCAAAACCTTAACCATGGCTAACGGCTGATGTACTGCAAGGTACAGGTCCTTGGAAGATTCTCACTGCCAGCAGTCAAACGCTATGGAGCAGCTCCCATCTTCCATATTGCTTTTCTTCATAGACAGAAACAATATTTTGGCATTTCTAGAACCTTGATCTTATGCCAGTTTCTTTGTAAGTTTTGCCATCTTGTCACACCTTGGGCAGTGTGCTTTCATAGAATCAAGGAACGGCCTAGCTTGAAAAGGACCTCAAAGATCATCTAGTCTCAACCTCCCTGCCATGAGCAGGGTTGCCAACCACCAGACCTGGCTGCCCAGAGTATATAAACTATATCAACTTTGTACTGGACATCATGAGATTCTGAATTACACAACCTCTGCTTGCCAAAATTGCTTAACAGCATTTTCAGAGGAAATTAATTGGGGCAGGGTGAAAAGTAAATCCCAAAGGAGACTCAGTTCTTCCTCTGATGTTGCTAGAAGATACATACACATGTGTGTGTATGTATGTATGTGTGTATGTTTATGTATATGCACACATATTTTTACTATGATTCTTTAGCTGAGGGCTAAAAGATAATCAGCTTCAGTACAGGTCAAGGACCACTTGAGTAGTTTGGATGAAGTCATGCAAAAATCAAGTGGGGTTGCCACAGATCTGGCTGCCCCATCTATAATTATACCAATGGGAGACAAATACAAAAATAGGCAAACCTTGATTACTCTAGAAAAAAAGGCTGTGGTTGTACAGTGAAGCAGAAGCCTGGACTGCAACACTCAGCGGTGTTGCTCTGCCCTCTACAGACGACATGGTGTAATCACATCTTACTCCCAAAGACTTTTAAAGTATGTCTAAAACAGCAGAATTAAAGCTGTCAAAGTGAATTGAACACGCATAGGAACTACCCTCTAGGGTATAGGGTATAGCATAGGAACTACCCTCTAACCACACACTGTGACACTGCAAAGCATGAGTAAGGTAAGTTGGGGGTATTTGTGAGACAGTGCTTCCTGTGAGTTCTTACCACATCCACACTGCCTATTCAGAATGTGAAATAATTGTTGCCCCAATGGCACCAATACCTGGAACTCAAGTGCAAAATGGATAATAAGATTTAGGTCAATTACTCTAATTTGTGTCATGCAGAATTTCTTCATGCTGGAGAAACAAGATTTTATTCCAACACCTGTAGGCAGAGCAAGTTCTTCCTGGTACTTTGTCATAACATCTAGGAGATTGCAAACAGAGTGCTCCCTTCACCCATAACCCCACCTTTAAGTGCTATGAAACGAGTGATAGCCTGCCTTCACTGACACATGAAGGTACCAGCATCCTGCTCTGTAAGTTCAGCTATATGCCACCTCCCACAGCAACTGCCTCCAACTTTTATCCTAGCTAAATGTTCAAGAAACGTGGTAAATGCATCTGCCTTTTTGAACTCACTTCAATTTAATGTACTGTCCACGTGCTGTCTGATAGAGAATGATAAAACTTTTACTTCACACATAATTGCTTCATCCCCACTGAGGTGAGAAAACAACATCTACTTGCTCTTTCTCACGACCTTGCAACGCTTTTTTATTGGTGGAATTTCATGACCCTTTCAACAGAGAAAACATGGTCCCCCATCATTTTCGTAAGTCTTCTCTTAGACAGGAACAACGTATTAGAGTCACAGTTTTCAAGACACACAATTCAGATTTGTTCCACTTCTTCATCTTACTGACACATCTACATTTTACAAAGACATTCCTCAGTGCACATATGGTTGGGCCCAGTGTGAAAAAAAAAAAGCCTGGTAGGATGAGTTTGCTTTGGCATCTCCCAAAACAGCGCACTGTGTGAGTGCCACTTGTGCCAGCTGCACACTCAGGAAAGAAAGAAGCGAGCGGTCTTCTAACAAGTGGAAACTTCTGGTGCCTCACATTTACAGAATGCTTTAAGTAAAAAACTGAAATACTTGCTCAGAAAAAAAGAAATCTTTATTCAATTTTACACAACGCAGACCCTGCTGTATGTAACACTACTATGCTTTAGTATGTTAAATTCTATGGCAGGCCAATATCTTTAATAAAAAAGTCATAAAGTAAAGCTGTAATAAAATATATTATGTACATCAGAACTTTATTTCTCTTTATAAGTACTGCATGAACATAGATTTTAAGAAGTTGCTATGACATTAAACCACCAACTACATTTCCAACTGCACTTTCGCATGGATTCTCATTTTTTTATACCTATTGCTTGTTTTGTTGAGGAATCTGATATGGACTAATGCTGCAGGCTAGAAAATTTCCAAGTACATCACCCAAGCCAAATGAAAGTCTTGTTATCACCTTGCCTACTTCCCAAACAGAAATGGTATTATTTCTTCCAAAGCAAAAATTAAAGGAAAATAATGATCACATTTATACTCAGCAAAGCTGTTCTCCAGTACTTCAGTCTGAGCACAGCTGAATGGCATTCTGAAACAAAATTCTTCCTGTAATCCCAGCTGTCTCAGAGAAGTGACACAGAAGTATCATGTAAACTCTGGGCTACATCTTGAGAACCTTTGTGCAATCTTAGAATACTTTTAAGCACAGAAGCTCCAACGTTACATCCTTTTACATTCTTTTCATTTGAAGAGGTTTGTAACACCTAACACTGAAGGTAGGGAACTGAAATGCTTAATACCAGTCCTCTTTCCAGCAAAATAATTACATTTAATGACACACTATTCTCAGATCTAGAAATACATTGAATTCTGTAATGGAGAACACTACAATAAGCATTATTTCTGCATGTGTCTGTAATTTCACTTGGGCAATGTGCTGCCATCTATACCCCATCTATCTGACCAAGGTCAGGACCAAGTAAATATACTTGAATAAATGTGATTTCAGAGGAATGCTCAGGTTTCAGTACACACTTACCAATAAAGATTATCTTTTAACATTTTCAGGGCTTGGAGTGTGGTCTTAATGGAGTTAGTGGCAAGATCATTTGATAACAATCATGTATGAGAGCACACTGTTTCTACAACTGTCTGGGTTAATAGAAGACTGAGGGCTGAGGTGACATAAGAAAACTGCTGATGTAATGGTATCAATCAATATTCACAGCAATTTTTACTTCTTCTGCACTTTTAGTCTACAATGTCTCAATTCCTCCCTAGCCTCACCTTTTCAGGTGCTGCAGGTCGTCTTCTTGTCATAACAATCACTAAGACAGATGCCTTGAACTTTGTTCCAGCAAGGCTCCACACTTGGTAGTTCTAGAGAGGGTGACAACTTGTTTAAAACAGGGTGCAGGAGACACGCTTCTTTTCTTAAGTCACATGAGACTTGGTCTCACCAACTGAGACAGGTGTTAGGACTTGGCCTGTTTCCTGCTCACAGTGTTTTCTACATTATGGCACCTGGAAGCCCTGATCAAAGCAGCATCCCATGGGGCTACCTGGTCATCAGTCTCAAATGGCCTTGAAACAGGCAAGCCAAGACAACTCAGCACTCTTTGAAGTGCCTTCAAGAAGAACAAAATTCCTTCTTCTCTTTGCTTGTTAATAAATTAGGCATTATAACGGAGCTGTTCTCTCACCATTACCTGGTTCTAACTAGTGTTCTCCAGGAATGGAAGCAGCTTCGACCCATGTGAACAAAACAGACGAACACTCACCTCTTACAGTCCACATAAGGACTATCTCTTCACTGAAGAGAGAAAGGTCAGCTGACCTCTTCCAGTATTAATCAGCTGGTCTCCTGTTTATGTGTCTCCTGAACCTGTTGTTTTAGACTTGTCACTGTTGGAACTGCTGTCTGAAACAGCAATTGTGTTGAAAATAATACCTGGCCTCAAAGTTTGCATACATCCCTATGCCAAGGGAGACTGAAGTATCTCTCCAAAGCCAATTCACCTCTGAGCCTACTAGCAAGGCTGCGTGTGCCACTGCAACATGCACATGCACTCTACAGCACCAAAGCACTGTGCATGTAAGCACTGCTAGGTCTCTCAGGCACACTACAAGTCCTCTAAAAGCTTTAAAAAACGCTCATAGAAGCAGAAGGTGAGCAGGAAGCAGAATGCATTATGTCTCTGGTCACAAGCAAAATCTGCTCTTTCAGAAGGGTACAGAAAAAGCTACAAAGTCAAGAGGTGACTTTTCTAAGAAAGATCATGTAATTGTTCTAAAAAAGCTCAGAAGAACAACAGATCGATCATGTACAAATTACAGCAATGAGCAAAATGACACAAAAACAGAAATAGATCAGTAGGCTTAGAATTTGCAGAAAGAAAGTAATTTTGAATTTATATGTAGAATACAGAATCATAGAACAGCTCAGGTTGGAAAAGACCTTAAAGATCATGGTACAACCACGACCTGACCATACTACCCTAATTAACAACCTTCTGCTAAATCATGATCCTGAGCACCACAACCAAATGGATCTGAAACACATCCAGGGATGGTGACTCAACCACCTCCCTGGGGAGCCTATTGCAGGGCTTAACAACCCTTCTGTAAAGAAGTGTTTCCTGATATCCAACCTAAACCTCCCCTGGCACAACCTGAGGCCATTTCCCCTCATCCTGTCACCTGTCACGAGTGAGAAGAGACCAGCTCTGCTCTCTCTGTAAGCACCTTTCAGGTATTTGAATATTACACACTGCATAGCAGAAATACTAACAGACTTCCCATTATGGGACCTTTCAATAACATGACTGCCAAGATAATCCTGACCTTCCTTCTTCTCCCCTGAAACCCAAATCCATCCCTGTGTTATTTATACATAGTGAAAAGCAGGAGTTCATAAACTACAGTGACACTAGCTACAATCAAGACAATTCCCCAAGTAACATAATACTGGAAGTAGTGTTATGATGTTGCTGGGGGAAGGGAGTGTGTTGTAACAGGGCAGTTACACTTTCTGAATAACATTTGGACGTGAGGCTGAAGTGAAAGCTACAGAAGCTGAAAAAAATCCAAATGTGAAAGTCAGTGGGGATATACTGCTTTCTCACTCCTTACAGACTGATCCTTTTTTTCCCTTGAAAGTATCCACAGAAGTCATGCAGTCTTCAAAACATCTTTTAAATTGCATGTTTAATAGTTGTACAATAACCTGTTCATCTCTTGCAACGAAGGCTGAAGGGAAGTCGAAGAAATTCCCTGTGGTAAAAGTCCTGAGTCAGCAGAAAGTGCTTTGAAGAAAGCAGTATTGGAAATTGAATTGGAAAGAAATTTCCAACACCTGCAGATTTTGGCTACTGTCAGCTCAAATAAAGTGTTGGGGGTGCACTGAAACCTTAGAGGTGAGAGTTGATCTTGCAGTATACTTTTAAGAGATCTACAACCACTTGCTCATTAGCAGCTATGAGCAAAGCAAAACAGTATTAATTTCTGTGTAGAAATTTATACACTTGTGTGTCATGGCTGCATCTCAGCCCACTGTTTTCTCTGAGTCCAACATTTTGCAGCCAAGGGAAAAAAGGCTCTGTGCTAGATAGAAGGAACATGCTTAAGGTGCTTTATCTGTGTCTAAATCTGTCCTTTTCCTCTTCCTTTCTCTTACACTGCTGAATATGAGCCTTAGCATTATTTAGTCTCCACAAAACCTACAAATTGTTTCTCCTAATAATTCAACTCCCCATACTGCTTGCAATACAAAGTGAAAAGAAGAGTTTTTGGATAAAACTCTGAGTGTTATGATCTATTTCTAAATAGAAATATTCAGGTTTCTCTCTGTTGCCAGAAAACTGCAGGTACCACACACAGGAGGACTTCATTCTGCATGTTTACCACAAACCCACCGAAGCTGCTGGTCTGCCTGGAGGTCAGTTAATTCACTGATGGATCTCCAGCTGCACTGACAAGCATACGCTCGCGATCCTTTCTTCTTTATCATCTTTGCTCTCAGTTTATTGAGGTCAGGCATGTTATTCCTGTCAAACAAATGAATTCAGTTTAAAACTGTACTTTTTTTTTTTTTTTTTTTAAATTAAAGAAGAAAACTCATGAGGCTATTTCATTTCACAAAAGCTCTTAACATTTCTGAGTACCACTGACAGGAATGGGTTTAGGGATACGCTTAAATTCTGTTTTGAACACAGTCCTCTCCTGAGAGCAAAACTCAGTGTGTAGTTTCTGAACTCTCAAATCAGATGCAGTTTAATGTTTCTGTAAGTAACGTTCTCTGTCTTGTTTGGAGACCCTGCTTCAGCCTCCAGAGAAAGAACCAGGTAGAATCAATCTCATTAATAAGAAATTGTACAAAACTGTATTAATCTGATCAACCTTTCATCAATATTACAATTATCTGATACTACCTCCTTTCATGTTATTATATTTTTTATCAGGATCTCGGAAGCAGAAGAATTTAGACTTTAGGTAAATTGAAGAATTGTATTTTTATTTAGCCTTTCTAGCTACCAAACTCACCTTAGATTTGGGCCACACTGTATTTTGACATTTATTTTACAAATGTTGCTGTTTTTAAGCACTGAGAATAAAAAAATTTCACTGTAAAAGATATGCAAGTTGTTGAGGGAGGGAAATCATAGGAAAACCAAAAACGTAGTATAAGAAAAATAATGGAACAGGAGAGGATTTATCCATTACTGCTCTGTTACACCCTGTCTCACACCCCCTGGTGGCCAAACACATACTCTGAACGCAACCATTATCTCCACCTGAGAACAGACACATACAGAGAATTCACCACAATAAGAATTTAAACCTGGTGTCTGCACTAGGAGCATGCCTACTGTGTAACACTTCACTCTTAGCATTTGGTACAGTTGCAGAGAAACTGGAAAGAAGAATGCCTTAATTTTAACTCTTCCAAAAAAATCAAAATGACTAAAATCAAAGAGTTCACAACATAACCAGAAAGTAAAAACCCCAACTCTTCAATTAATCAAATACTGCTTAAAAAAAAAAAAAAAAAAAAAAAAAAAAAAAAAAAAAAAAAAGCCTGTTAAGTAAGCAAGCTATTTGATTTCCACTGAACAGGGCAATACTTCATACTGCAGAAAGCAGAAAAACTGCCTTGAAACAATTGTAGCTTATGCCACTGCAGGTATGCTGAGAAGTACATGCTGGCACTGCATGCAATTTCTTTTTACATCCAGCAGTGGCCCATCAGAGGCCAACCCATCACACTGATTACCTGCTTATTTTGACAGTATTGCTGCCTCACAATTTACCAAACCTGAATTCTTTTTAAAAGCAGAAGGTGAGGGTGATGGAGGAAGAAATGGAAAGGCGTGAACGCAGATGGTGGGAGATGTCTGCAGGAAGAAGAATGCAGCTTTCCCAAGAGATTACTGAAGAGGTTGCACCCATGCTCCTTATTAGATAACATGGACTGCCAAGGACTCTTCACTTTCCCTGTTCCCATCAAGCCCTGAAGCAGAGTAAAACAATATTAACACCAAACCCTCCTGAGACATACCTGAAAAAAAGGTAATCACAGGACTGATCCCAGATGTAGTCATTGAAAAGCGATACACGGAAGTCACAAGCAGTGCAACGCAGCTGGTCACACGTCCTGGCCAAAGACAAAAAAACCACCAGAAATCTCCAAGAGCTTGTAACAGTAAGAGAAGCTACACAGATCGTTACAGTTTTACAACAAAACACACTCAGAAATACTAGAAGTGTGGTTGACCTGTAATCTTAATTTTCCACATCTCTGGATGACCCATTATGTACGCATTCAAACCTACGATCACGCAGTAACTTTTCCAGGTTCCTTGAATATGCCAAATAATCTGATATTCCATATATACTCTTTGATCCTTCTCACCGGTGTGGCACCTGACTATCACCTGCATAGGCATCATGTGTAAATTACTACAAAAGAAGTTTACAAAAAAAGCAGAAGGAAATGCATTAATTTTCTATTGGATATCAGAGCTATGTATCTGAAGTCCCTTTCCTCCAGTTAAAGTACCTTTCCTGAAGTTACCAAGCACTCTGCTTGTCCTCAATTGAGGCTCTGGGATGCCTGTCTTCAGTTCAAGCTGTGGAATGACTTAAACTAGTCTACTGATTTAGGAGGCATGCTCTGCCATCACACAGAAAGCTAAAGAGAAGCACAGAGAAATACAACACTAGAGCAACAACCTCCTTAACTACACGGGTTTGATTTTTGGAGTCTCTTGTCTCATTTGCACACATTCTTCAACTCCTCAAATGAAAAAGAGGATCCTGTGGTCACAAACAGGGGACTGGAGAAGATCAGCAAACTCAGACTGCAGTTACAGGCAGCTGTGCGTTTCAATGGACATAGAGCTGTCCCTGCAGTTCAAACTCAGGGCTCTGCACCACCACAGAAACACAGTTGTGATTAAAACTAATTTAAAACTAATTTAAATTAATTTAAACTAATTTAGATTAAAACTAATGATAAATAGATTTTTTTTTTTTAACCTTTTTGAAATATTTGTTCCTACGCCATTTGGTGAAGAGCTTCCACCCAGGTACACTGGACAGCATCTGTGGATTTAATTAAAAGAAAATAATGAAGTAGTAGCAAAACATTTTGAAAAAAGGCAGCTCAATGCTAATTTAAATGGTTGTGTGTTACACTGCTTCAAGTAGTACTTTTTCAGCAAGATTTTCCTTTAGTCCCTTAAAGGCCTGGCAAGTTAATATTTATTCAATACAGGCAAAGCATCAAATGCTTACGAACGATTGAATTCCATTTTTTTTCTTTTGCCAGGATACTCATAGAAAAACTGTGATAAACAATGTCTTTATGGAAGTGGGGCTGTTTAGTCTGGGGAAGAGAAGGCTGAGGGGAGACCTTATTATGCTCTTCAAATACCTGAAAGGTGATTGCACCGAGAGCGGGGTTGGTCTCTTCTCACTCGTGACAGGATGAGGGGAAATGGCCTCAAGTTGTGCCAGGGGAAGTTTAGGTTGGATATCAGGAAACACTTCTTTACAGAAGGGTTGTTAAGCCCTGCAATAGGCTCCCCAGGGAGGTGGCTGAGTCACCATCCCTGGATGTGTTTAAAAACTGTTTGGATGTGGTGCTCAGGGACATCATTTAGCAGAGGGCTGTTAGTTAGGGTAGTATGGTCAGGTTGTGGTTGGACTCAATGATCTTTAAGGTCTTTTCCAACCTGAGCTGTTCTATGATTCTTCAATGCTTCGTGACTAAATATTGCAGTGTTTGATAACTGCATTTGTCCAGAAGGCAGAGGAAACTTGTTCCATAATTACTTATATGGTAAATAATTTTGATCACATGAAAACATATCAATAATTCTTTAACATTAACTTTCTGTTCAACAGTGTGTTTTTTCTGATAAAGTTAACTGAATACTCATTTTTTTTTTCTTAGTTGACATCAAGACAAATTAAACATGAGTAAAACTATCAGACAAGCTATAATCAAGCTATGTTCAAGTAGCCCAAACGTTTTTCATTTACCTTTTCCTATGAGCCTGTACAACAGCACTATTGCTTCCAGGTGTGACACTTGGGTAGTTAGACTTCAATTTCTATTTAAAAAGCAAAGAATAAAAGGCAGCATTTCAGCAATATGGCAATAGACTGTTTTACTAAAAAAGCAAGAGTCAGGAAATCCAAATAATCCAGTAAAACCAGGACTAGGAATTTGGGATTTTTCTTGTTCAGTTTTCTGTAAGGCCGTTTGAGACAAAATGTGCTGAAGTGACAGATAGATAGGTAGAAAGGCTGCTCTCCCCATAGCAAATTTCCAGCTCTGCCTGAAGGAACTGACACAATCACCTTGACTTTAGAATGAAGACCTGCTCCTGCCTCCTGGATATGTCTGGAGTGCTGTGCCCAATACAAAAGTGATATGGACATCATGGAATAGGTCCTGCAAAGCACCGTGAAGGTGATTAAAGTCTTTAGACCATCTGACACACAGGTAGAAGCTGAGAGCTGGGACTGCTTAGCCTGTGGAAGATCAAGGTCAGCAGAGTTTTGTCAGTGGATACAAATATATGCTGGGGAGAAGCAAACATGACATATTCAGACTATTGCCAGTTTGTGTCAGTGCCCACTGACAAGAGGTGGGGTGATGGACACAAACTGAAACATCAGAAAAAAAATTACTGTGAGGATGATCTAACACAGGAACAGGTTACAGGTTTAGTTTGTGAAATCTCCTCCCTTGAAAAACCTAATTCAAAATCTAACTGGACACACTCCTAAGCAACAGGCTTGAGCAGACAATTAGGTTTTTTTTTTTTATTTTACATTACCTTGAACTAGCATTCCCTTTAACAGCCTGGGTTAGGTGATCTCTTTATATCTCTCCTGTTCATCGCTACAGGATTGTTGTGCTTTCCTTCCTGCTTTATTTTTCAGTTTAATTCCACAGCATATTTCCATTCTTTCTTGTTTTAAATCAGTTTTAGTTTGTAGTTTTTAATTTTTTTCCATCACTGGACTTCATGCTTTCTGCATTTCTCCTGACTTGTACTCACCAGAGGTGTTCTGGCAAAGCTGCTGTCATTACAGATTTCATCAATAATGTCATCTATATCATCTTCATCACTGCCAGCACCCATTAATGTTCTAGCTGATCTGAAACACAAGCAAATCAACTTTCATTTTGCAGCACGATCAGAGTAATTATAAGAACTGTAAGTTAAAAACATAAAATTAGTCACAATCTTGTCCTCTAATATTACTGTAGTATCTAAGGTAGGCCATCCAAATAATTATGGACAAGATGTACCATGCAGGATAAGGCCTCTTCATTGAACTGTCTTATAACTGGCCTTCTGCTTATTGCCTTTATTCCCTACCACTTCCAACCTTCAATAAAGTAGTGATAACAGAACCCCTGTGGCACTCACTGAGTAACAGAATGGACAGCCCTGATTTTTTACATTTATTTTCAGCAGCAGATATACAGAAAGGTCAGAAGGAGCTCTCTCCTCATGTTAAACGACTCACAAATACAATTTAGAACACAATGCATTGGGCTATTGTCTCCTGCTGGCTTTTTTTTTTTTTTTCTTCTTCATACCAATCAAAATGCAGAAATCTCTAAAACAGTAAAGTAACACTTTGAAATTAGCAAGCTTTATGCCTCACAGATCCCATCTAACGTGCTCAGGTCAGTCACTATTCATGTGTCCAGCAGTCTTCGATGCAAATGCAGCAGGCTTTCTCTGGGGGTGTACCACCACTCAAAATGGTTCTATTACTGTCCTTTTAGAAGGAGTGACAAGATTGCAGGACATAGGTCAACACCAAAAGCAGACAGTGATAAAATACAGCAGTAATACACAGGAGAAGTGACAGATGTGTCTGGAGGGATGTCTGTATGGAAATTTGAACCTGCTCTTTAGTATCACAACTAGTTCTTGAAGCAGTGAATCTGCTCACTAACCCCGTGTCTCCAACCTGGCAGAGCACAGTTCCCACTCAAAAAGCCTTTATTTTTATTCTTTTCAACTATAGCAGCAGTGTTTATTTTTATAATCCATAATTTATAAACTTAAGAGCCTTTGTTAGAAATTCAAAGTGGATTAACTGCACATTAAGCCTTTAAAGCTAGATGGGTGAGGTGGGAGGCATTTGTAAAGCTCACCTTTGCTGGTCTGTGAAAGAGGTTGGCCTGTGAAAGAGGATGCTGACTTTGTATGCATATCTGTGGTCCTTCTCATCGTGTAAGAGACAGAATTGGCCATTTAGGGCAGCTGCCTACAAGGAGATGTGCTCTCTGTCCTGCTTATAAAGATGGCTCAGTTGATGGATGTGGAAGAAGCCGAATTGACAATGAACGCTGCTCAGGTCACTGTTTGAACACCTCAGTGAGAGCAGGCTTAGCTGAGGAAGCAGCAAGGAGCTCCTCGGGAGCCTCAACGCCTATGAAAAGCCTACAAGCCTATGAAACATTTCCCACTGTGGGCCTGCAGCCAAGGAAAGAACTCCAAGGAGGGCAATGCCAGGCTGCTAACCCACCGGCTGAAAGAAGCTGCTCCACGGGCAAGGTCAGCTTTAGCGCAGCCTTAACCAGGAACGTCTGAGCATGAAGGGACCCCTGCAGGCCAACGCCCTGACCAGGGACAGCCACAGCTCACCGGCTGCTCAGGGCCCCCACAGCCCGGCCTCAGGACCCCCCTACAGCCGCTCTGGGCAAACCGGGATGCCTCGCCGCGCTGACCTAGCAAGCTTCTTCCTTACATCCAATCTACATCTCCTCTCTTTCAGTCTGAAACCAAACGACGGAGCTACGTAACATCTGGCCGTGGCTCACAAACAGACGCAGGTTTAGTGCCACTTTTATTCCGATACTCCTGAGAAACGGCGGCAATCAGACGCGGGGCCGTAATCCCACATGCTGAGCTCCATGCAGGCCCCACCCCCCTCCTGCCCCGCCGGCCGGAGATTCGCACGTCGGAACGCCGCTCACCTGCCCTCCGCCGCCGCCGCCGCCCGCTCCCTGTCGCCGTTCCGACCTCCGTCCGCAGCCCCCCGCTCCGGCATGCGGCAGAACCTCCGCTCCACCTCGTCCAGTAGCCGATCCAGCTCGTCCGCCATCTTGCCTCAGCCGGCCGTTGCCAGGGCGGCCTCGCACCGCCCTCCCTTCCAGGGCGGAGCCCCCGCTCCCGCCGGGTGCCGGGGTGGTCCTGGGGCGGTTCTGCCGCGGTGGGAACTGTGAGCCCGTCCGCCTGGTCTGTCCGGGCGGGTGGACTTGTTCTAAAGAAAAGGTGAACAAATAAAAACAGTCCTCCGGAACGCATCAGTTCCGGCCGTAGTCGGCAGGATTCGAACCTGCGCGGGGAGACCCCAATGGATTTCTAGTCCATCGCCTTAACCACTCGGCCACGACTACGCATGTTGGAGTGTTGTTTCCCAGCATACTAGTGATGTGTGCTCTGCTGCCGTCACCCCAGGCAGCTGCCTCAGGGCCAGGAGCGGCTCTTTCTGTTAAAACAGGGGCCGTGGTGGCTTAGAATTTAGGTCTCTGCCGGTAGAGCAAAATGTATAAAACAGAGCTGATGCTTAATGGACGCCTGTAGGAAATTTGCAACTGGCCATTGGCGTGCATGGGAGGGTGAGACTGGGATGTGTCAGCTTCTGGCCAGTTCCGCCTGGTTCTGGTTGGCTCCGGCTTGCATGCTGAAGGTAGCATTGAGGGAAATGGCTGTGGCCAGGTTATAACCACGGTACTTTGCAGCTTCCCAATTTAGAGTGCCCCAAACATACACAGCGTGTTGAAAGGACGCTCTACAAGATAACCAAGTGCCACAGCCTTCCGGTGTGTGCTCAGCGTCCTTGTCCTTACAGACAGCGCCCTCCCTTTTGCTGCTGACAGGAAGCTTGGCACTCACCCCCTCACCAGGACCATGACAATTGGATTGGGGTTGCAGTCTCTCACAGCTCAGAGTGCAGCCTCTCTTTTACACGGTGTTTTACAGTTCTCCCGGCGTTGCCAGCAGTGAACTGCCAGCCACATTTGGATTCTCTCCCTACTTCAGCTTTTATTTATTTGTTCCATTTTTCTCCTCACGTATCTTGGGGCTCTGATACCCCAGCCAAGGCGATGGCAGTGCTGCTGGGAGATGTGTGGGGTTAAGCAGTTGTGAGCCTGCCCTGATTGATTTGACCGAAGAAACCAAATAGCACTGATGCTGCTCCAGCTCTTTAAAGTGGTCCCTTGGTCAGAACTCAATGTCATGTAGGTAAATTCAATCCAGAAGAAGTGGATTTTTGGGTGGAATTTTTACATCCATCTCTCACAGCTGTGGAGAGTTTAAACTAATCACAGTTCTCCCTGGTATGCTATCATCTCTGTGATTTGAAAAAGGATCAGGAGCCCACAGGCTTGGAAAATGCTGCAGAAATGCTTGTCCTGAAGTACATCATCACATGTGGAAAAGACCACTTGCAGCATCATCGTAAAGGAGCTTAAGAATGCTGAAATCCAGTATCATTCTGGCATTCTTTCAAATGGCCTTAGAAATCTGAGTACATTCTCTTCTGACTGCAAAACAGCTTCTTTCCCTTTCCATCAATCCTGTGGCTGTCAATGTGTCTGCTGTAAGGTGCCAAAAATGTATGGAGTGTCTATGGGATAACTGTGCCAAAGTTGGGGTGCCTCAAGGCCTTCTCCAGCAAACCCACTGCTGCATTTGCTCAGTTGGAAAGCATTTGAAAGAAAAAAAAAAAAGAAAAAAAAAGGCACAAAGCTCACAGACCTTTAGAATTCCTTTAACTACGGAGATTGTTTTTGTGCAGATTACTGCCTGCTGTTTAGATCTTGTTGTTCAAAACTTGCCTGATGCAATCAAAGACACTTACTGGCTCAAATTAATTCCAGACTAGTTTCTGGAATCACACTGAGGTGAATCTGACATACTGGGCCATCAGCTAAGCTGTGGTCAGGAGGAGGAGTGCAGGAGAAAGGAGCTGAGGTCACGTCCTGAATTTTGCCCTCTCTTAGGAGATGAGTGAATTAATGTGTGCAAATCATGTCTTCTGCTGACATTATATTGATGCAAACAGAATGGTTACCGACTACCGAGGGCTGGAAATGTGTCAGTCTTGAGTACAGAATGACAGAACGACCATTCTGTTATTCTGGCTGTCAATGCTTTTTTTTTTTTTTTTTTTTTTTTGAAGACTCATTGTGTGTCCTATGGAGAAGAGGACTGGGAGGCTGGCCTGGGTGGAAGCCATCATTCTCTCTAATGCTCAGGCCACTGCAGCCTTCTTAGCAATGCTGATAAAACTGGCTTTTGCTACCACAGTGATAAGGACAAAATACCTTCCTAGGGCAGAATGTCAATTTGCCTGCCTATTTTCTCTGGGAACCAAAACCAGCTTTAGTAGGAGTTCAGCAGAACTTTCCTTAGCTTTCTTCTCTGAATGACAAACTCTCTGGGGCTGAGACAATGATAAAGGCTGATGAAATTGTAATTTCTTCTGTTCCTCCAAACTGCTGCCAGCCATGAACGAAAGGAATACAGGGAGACCTTCTTGCTGTGGTGATAACATGGCTGAACTTTTTCTGCATTGTCATCTCTTGCCTCAGAGGATGGGAAGGAGGTAGAAGCACAGCAGCTGTCTGTCACCAAGGTGGTATGCTACCTGTAGCAAATGTGAATGGCTTGAATCTCATTTTACAACCAGTTCAACCTCTTGCTTCCAGTCACAGGATATTGTTCTGGTGCTGTTCCTGGTCATACTCCAGTATATCATTTTGAGTGATGCTATGCTTATTTTCCAGTAGTGGTACAGTGCATTGACATGAATAAATCCAGGCCACATGTAGATTCTTGGCCATAATTTAATCACTAGCAAGCATTTCTGTGGATGAAATTATTCTCTGTAAAGATATCAGATAGGGAGACAACGTCTTGAAAGACTGCTTGGCAGAAGAAATAGCAAAGTGTGCAAGATTCCTTATGTAATGTTACTCGCTTATTATGTTGAGAGACAGCCTTGGATCAGAGAGCAATTTAAGCTGGAGGCCAATTCAGACTTGGACTTCACTGCTGATCCTTCCCATCAAAGGTGCCAGCAAAGAGGGTAAATTTTCATGTAGGTTTTCTGGCACAGCTCCCTCACTCTTGATGGACCAGACTGGCATTAGAACTGGAAAAAATTTCAGTTACTTCCAGTCTTGAAATTAATCATTTCAGGGTTAGGGTGTGAGCACCCACTACCTAATTCCTGTGTTATCCAGTTCCACATAGGAAGACTTTCCTGAGGAGAGCAGTTAAGTGTCCACAGAGGCAACCAAACCTGTTAACATTATTTTGGATCTTTGTAGGCACACATGCCCATTTTCAAGAGAGTATGACAACGAGGCATATGCTAAGGGAAGGAGAAGGTTCTCAGGGCAAAACGTACTTGTCTGGGCACATTTAATGAAACACAAAATCATAGACTGAATCATAGAATGACTTGGGTTGGAAGGAGCTTTAAAGCCCATCCAATTCCAACCCCCTGCCATGGGTAGGGCTGCTACCCACCAGCTCAGGATTCCCAGAGCCCCGTTTAACCTGGCTTTGCATAACTCCAGGGATGGAGTACCCACAGCTTCTCTGGGCAGCTTTTTCCAGGGCCTCCCCGCTCTCTGAGTAAAAATTCTTCTCCTAACGGCCAAATTAAATCTCCCCTTTTTTGGTTTATAACCATTCCCCCTTTTCCTATCACTGTTAGACTGTGTAAAAAGTCAGTCTCCCTCCTGCTTGTAAGCTCCCTTCATGTACTGGAAGGCCTCAATGAGGTCTCCCACGAGCCTTCTCTTCTCCAAGCTAAACAAGCCCAGCTCCCTCAACCTTTCATCATAGGAGAGGTGCTCCAGCCCTCTGATCATCCCTGTGGCCTCCTCTGGGCCTACTCCAACAGTTCCAACCTGGCATAGCCTTGAAAACTGCCTATAAACATGACATTTTGATCTCCATGAGGGCATAGCAAACATTGTAAAGTCATTTCTGGAAAATAAAGCAAAACAAAACAAAAAACCCTACAAAAAACCCCAACCTGTTAGCTTCTAAGGCTGTGTATCAAGCAGGTTATGCTTTGAAATGTTAGAATTACGTGTAACTCCACATAAAAATGGTGTTGCCAGGTGCTGCTTGGCTTTCCTGCACCTGCATTCTCTGGCACCCAGGGTGTCTGCCCCTGTAAAGTAGAGCAGAGGGAGGCATGTGGTGATAAAGCAAGTTAATGCAGGGGAACCATCTCATCACAAGGAAAAAATGTTTCCATCTAAAAGATAGAAGTAATGATTAATAGTAAATGTAACATAACTGACTTGCTAGGAAGTACGTAAGCAGGGGAACATGAGCAGTAAGGAGCAAATGTCCAGCAGAGATGGACGGGGGCTATTGTGGAAAAATCTTTCCTACTGCTGCCCATTGCATAGCTGCAGTGAGAGACAAACAACATGCTGGGCCATCCTAGCGGAGGGATGCAGGAGTTGAAACCAAAGCAGCAATAGAATTACATCATCCTTGCCAAGGGCTGGAAAATGTTTTTCAGGGATGATGCTCCAGACGAGCTGTGAGCAGGGAATAGCTGGCCCATAACCTGCGGGGTCATGGTGTGAATATGCATGTGAAGGGGAAGATTGGGGTTTGTGTGATTTTGTATTTTTGTGAGGGATTTTAATGGCTAACTAACATTGCATCCCTGCAAATGGATGCAGCTTTCTTACACTCCTTACATGACTTGTCATTCTAGAATAAGTGAACTCAAGGAATCCTGTAATCTCTTACACTTAGTGTCTTAGTGCCTTAGTGTGTGCCTTTCTTTCTTTCTTTTTTTGATGCTGTGTATCAAAACCAAACCCAGCTGTAACAGTTCAGCTAAGTGCATGGCAGGAGCGGACCTGGAGGAAAAGTCTGAAATATGGACATGTAACTGTGCGTATGTCCTGCCAGTAGTGCTGGTGAACCTGGGTCTGCTCTCTGTGGAGTTTCTGATGGGCTTTGGCCTTGGAAAAACTAGGCAGGGACTAGGTTCAGGGATTTCCCCTCCAGAGCAACCCAAGTGGGAGGCTGTGCCAAGAAATCACAGAATTGTAGGGGTTGGAAGGGACCTCCAGAGATC